GCTCTAAGGATCATTGGAACGCACACACCTTGCCACCATGACAAGGTTATGCTTCAAGGAAAGGCTTCCTTTATGTAAGCACTGGGAGAAGAATGCTGCTTTCTGTGGAGAATTCTGTGGGTTTTTCCCACACCACTATTTCTCAACTAATCTTACTTGCAAATTTTAAGATTGTTTTACCATAGAGTAACAATGATAAAAGAGTGAAGCTCTTGTATATAGAATCTCTCTGAAATGTGCATTGTAACATTTCTCCATTTGGGGTGTTTCAATTAGAAAAATACATTCTTCTGAATATGATGATGTTTTTCTAAATCAGCGCTGCTCAACCTCTAGCCCAGGGGCAGGCACGTCTGGGGAGCTGCCGTGGGCCAGTCAGCATTGCTCCATCCTCCCACCCCCTTGAAACAGCCCGGAGCCTGCGCGCCCTGCAGCTCCTCCCTACCCCTAGCCCGCCTCATGCCCACTCCAGATCAACAAAAACCCACATGCATAGACCTGACTCTGCCCTGCCCTGTGCCTGCTCTGGACCACCTGCCCATGCTGGGCAACAGCCAGGCAGAAGCTGCTGCTCAGCGCAGGGAGAAAACGGTCCCTCCCCCTCACCACTGCCAGGCTCTTCTTGCTGCAGCTGCCTGGAGCCCATGCGCAAACTACCCTGTGGCTCCTCTCCACTGCCATCCCTACCACATCTGGGCCACCTAGCAAAACAGTGGTGGCAATGCAGAAGAGCCGTAAGGCAGCCCAGGCATGGACTCTGGATGTCTGCAGCAAGAAGAGCCCAGCAGTGGTGAAGGGAAGGTGTTGCTTCTCCCCTGTGCCGAGCAGCAGCTTCTGCCCAGCCAGCGATGCTGCTGCCACTGCTCAGCGTTTGTGGGTGAGTGGAGCAGGCATGGGGCGGGCTGGTGGCAGGGCAAGCAGGTTCTGGCTGCTCCAAGTCCAGGCCAAGTCCAGAGTGGGCGCAGGGTGGACCAGGGTCAGGTCTGTGTGCAGGTCCCCTTCAGTACCATGGGGCTGGGGACAGTGATGGCGGCAGCTGGAAGGAGCCACTGCCACCACCTGAGCTGCCTAGAAAGGCAGTCTAGCTGTGAAGCTGTCTCTACCCTGCTGCATGCCCAGAGAAAAGAGCCACGGGCCAGATGGCGCCTGAACCAAGTGGGACCCTTCCTGGGCCAGATCTGGTCCCCAAACCATATTTTACCTGCCCCAACATAAAGAAAGGGTTTGTATGTGTGTGTACTCTGAATTTGTTTTTATAAAGTGTTTACATCTGATTGAATTTATATAACGTTTCAATTCAAAACACTGGCACTGACTCATCCATTTTATTGCAGCTTAGTATCTACTTTGAAAAAGAAAAAGTTGTTAAGGACCACCGCGTATTAAATTAGTATTTAATCAAATACATCTAGGTATTATAAATCCAGTTAATGCACTGATGAGCCAAACAGCTGCAGTGATGGTGATACTCACCTTCTGGGCTCCAGAGTTGCCTGAAAGCTCTGAGCTCACTGCACTCTGGATGGAGCCACAGCTTTCACACAGCTCCAGAGCTCAGGAGTTGAACATCACTGCCATTCGCCTCACACTCCCCCTTCTCCCCCATTGAATTCCCCAGCAGGAAAAAAGGGACCAAGCAGCAGCAGTATTGCTTAGCTCCTGCAATTTGCCACCAACACGAGTAAAACATCCAGCTTCTTACAAGCTGGTAAACATCTAGCTCCTTACAAGCTGATACAGTTTAGTGATCCATCAACCTCAATCCCTGCTGCTTGCACAGGGTACCATTTCATTTTAAAGTTTAATTGTTTAAAATATAAAATAATATTATAGAATATTATTATTAAACTTTTTACTATGCATTAATAGGCCTACGTTTGCTTAAAATATATACTTTCCTTTCTACTATTACATAAAATACTTAATATTAGGATATGTCAAATTATAGAACTATGATGCTTTTCTTTGTGGCCCTTGGCCCATTTTTTATTTTAAGGTTTGGTCCACTTTAAAAAATAAATAAATTTTTTTTTTTTTTTTAAAGGTTCACCACTACTGTTTTAAATCACTCCACAGGGAGCCAGAGCTCCTCTTTCTTAGCCTGCTGACCTGCCATGTGACTGTAGGCACATCACTTAACAACTCTGACTTATTTTCTTCATCTGTGAAATATTTGAAAAGTCATGGAAAACTGAATCATAGAGTGTAGAGATGGAAAAGACCTATTAGATCATCCACTCTGTCTACCTGCCAATGCAGAATTGTTTCCTACATTTACTAGTGTTTTTCTAGTCTGGTTTTGAATGTGCCAAGTGATTGGGCTTCCACCAGTACCTTTGGGAGATGATTTTACAGGCTACTGGTTTTCACTGTCAGCAAGTTTTTCCTGACTTCTATATCAAATGAGTTCTACTTTTAATTTCAAACCATTTTGCTTGGTTATACTTCGCTGCTGGGGTTGTTATGTTTAATTGTTTTAAAGTATGCAGCTCTCCTTTTCTGAATTAGCTTACAGTCTAAGAGGATGGCCAGGACATTAATTAGTAGGAAGAAAAGATGCAAGAATCATTAATAAGAAGGGCAAGAGACT